AGAAGAGGCTATCAGATCCCTGGGAACCTGTTACAAATGATTGTTAGCCATCACACAACTGCTGGGAGTCAACCTCAGGTACCCTGGAAGAGCAGTTAATGCTCTCTACGACTGAGCCATCTCTCCAGCCCCAGGCACTAGCATTTTAAAAACAAATCTCAAGGTGTTTTAATAGAGAACCATAAAGGAGCGAGAGCATGAGAACACCACGTGGAAGAGCCAGCTCTCAGTGGCTCGCCACAGCGGAAATGCACGGTCACTGCTGCAGCCTCCCCGTGCAATACAATGCCTGGAAGTGCTCGTGTGCTTTAAGGTGCAAGGCAAAGGATGGACAGATGTGAGTACTGGATGAGGAAGTGAATGTCTAGGCAGGCAGTGCAGCCTTAGCCCCTCCAGTGCAGAGGAGTCAGAGGTGCCCCATGTATTCAGCATGTCCACAGCAGCCTGTCTTCAGGAAGCCCTGGCTCAGGCGGGTGTCGGCCTGGACTTGAAAGAGGCACTTTATAGTGACAGTGGTCAAAGAGAAACCAGGAAGAGTGGTCTGAGCAAGGACAAGTGGTCCGCTTGTGATGTCCTCACCCTGTCCGAGTTGTCCAGAGTTGAATGGAATGTGTTATGTGGGCAGAACTACTACTGAGGAGGGTGGGCACCAAGAAATTGGAAAGAAAAAACACAAACTCAAAGAAAGCCTCTGGGAGGGAGGGGTGGTCAGCAAGCTCCTGCATGCCAGCCTCAGTAGCCCCTAGCATGCGGGGGGGTGGGGAGGAACCAGGATGATGTATTCCAAAATGAGCCTTGCTCTTTGCAGCCCGCTACCCTACAGCCTCACAGCTGGAGCCATGAACAGTTCCCATGTGCTGAACACCAGGTCAGAATGGACTGAGAGCTGTGGGAGAGAAGTGACCAGAGGAGGAACCCTGCCTCCGCTCTGCATTTCATGGATGAAGGGGGCCCTCCTTGGTGACAGGCAGGATTTTTCCTTTTAGTTTTCCAAAACAGAGTTTCTCTTTGTAGCCTTGGCTGTCCTAGAACTCGCTCTGTAGACCAGGCTGGCATCTAACTCAGAGATTCACCTGCCTCAGCCTCCTAAGTGCTGGGATTAAAGGTGTGTGCCACCACCTCTTGCCTGGCAGGCAGTTTCTTTTTCTTTCTCTTTCTTTTTTTTTTTTTTTGTTTTGTTTTTCGAGACAGGGTTTCTCTGTGGCTTTGGAGCCTGTCATGAAACTAGCTCTGTAGACCAGGCTGGTCTCGAACTCACAGAGATCCGCCTGCCTCTGCCTCCCGAGTGCTGGGATTAAAGGCATGCGCCACCACCACCCGGCCTGGCAGGCAGTTTCTAACTGAGGAACGATTCCAGTGCACTGTGGGCAGCAGCCCAGGTTGAAGGGGGGTTGCATTGTGAAGTTTCTGGATGTCCATCTGGGTTCAGGCTCCCACAAAGACCTGGGAAAGGGGATGGAACTGTGGGTGCCCATAGCCCAGAAGGATCAGGGCATGAAGGAGGACCTAGGACTTCCTGGAAAGCCCATAGGATGAATCTGTGACCCACACAAACTCAAGTAGGAAGTCTCTGTCCCTCCCAGTCCCATGCAGGTGAGGACACCAGCCCAGCCTTTATATTGTAACAGTTTATTTCACACTCAGCCTCCACTAAGGTCCAAGGTCCCTACAGCCACTGGCCAGGTGAGGGCAATGTTTCCTTAGAGCCCACTGTAGCCTTCTGGAAACCTGCCCACTGTCACCACACCAAGGGGCAAGCTGGGGCCAGACGCACTATGAGGGGCTGCACAGCAGGTCTTCCTGCAGGCAGTGGGTGATTGTCACCCACTGGGCAGTTCTACTCTACCTGTGTTATTGCATTTATACGCTGTGAGACTCAAGGGGGTGTTGGGTGCAGGCAGGCAGGGTAGTCTTTTGGGGGGTATTGGGCTGGCACAACTGTAATGTAGACCCTCCATATTTCCTACCTCCACGTCAGGCTTTCAACCTCCCCCCCCCCAAAAAAAAAAAAACCAATTGCTGCTCTGGGCATGGAGTAAGGTGGTCCTAGCCTCAGGAGCTCTCCTGGGGCACATACTGAAAAAGGGAAGGGGGATCCCACCCCAAATTTAGCTGTTAAGCTTGGCGTTTTCACTCAGCTAGGACAGGGACAGTGGGTGGAGGTAGCTCTGCAGATTTGAATTCCCACCGCAGGTCGGTTCCCCTGCATCAGGCCCAGACAGACAGCCCCCAGACGCACAAAATAGAAGTGGGGAGAGTAAAACAGCTGTGCCCTTAATGTCCCCACAGGGCCAGTCTCCTCCACCACTTCTCTTTCAGTGCCCCACCCAGTGACTGTTCCTAGTCCAGGCTATCCCTGCTGCCCCATGCTAGTGCTTCCTGCAAACTGCAGAGCTGGGCTCTTGCCCCAGCACTTGGGAGAGAGTGTGCTGGGGTCAGTGGAGGTGGGTTCACTGTCGGTCTCTCTCCTGCTGCGTGGATGTATGTAGCATACATATACGTGTGTGTGTGTGTATAGATAAGTATCTAGGACCTTGCATGCACTATATATTCAGGTCTGTACAGAAAGTGGCTCTGTGCCTCCACCTGGACACCAGGCATCATTTTTTCCGGGCTAGGAAGACTACACCAAGAATTAGGGCCATGGTGGCCACAGCCACACCCCCAGCCACTAACAAAGGGGTCAAGTTCTCACAAGGCCAGGGACCTCGGGCTCCAGTGTTGGACTCATCCTCCTCTGCCCCATCCCCAGGACCCTTCGGCTCTGAGGTTGCGTCAGGACTGCTGGGGGCTGCAGGCACTGTGGGTGTTGGCTTCAGATTGCTGTGATTGTTGAGAAGAACAGGGTCTGCCTTGGCCGGTGTCTTCTTGGTAGTTGCTGGCCCAGGGGCTGCTGGTTGCTCCTGCTTCTCTGTTTGGGTGTCCTTCTTCACAGGCTTGGTCGAGGGGACTTTCCCATCAGCAGCTGGAGTGGCCTTGGCCTCAGCTGTGGCCTGAGGCATCTTGGTGTCTGGCTTGGGGCTGCTGGCTGACTTTCCTCGGGATTCCATGATGATTTGTGCTGGCAGCTGGCTTGGGGCTTGCGGGACTGGCAGGCACTGGATCACAATGTCTCAGGACAGCTCACCTCTGGGCATTATATGGGTCTGGAGGGAGATACAACAAGGTGGTAACAGGGACGAGGCACCTTCTGTATAGCTCTCCTGGCCCTGCCTCTGCCCCTGCCCCTTGGAGATACCCTTCTCAATCCCCTGGACTCTCCAGGGGCTCCAACCAAGGAGTATCCTGGAAACCCAGTCCTTCCTCTTCCTAGGCCTTGCCTCTGTTTGCTTCTGAGCATTCTTGGAGAAGCCCCTACAACTGCTGAAAAGTTGGGAAGGGGGAAGAACCAGAGGCCTCAGTTTCTTCACCTATAACCTAGCTTTGTTTCACATACACTGTCTACCCCACACTGTTGCAGACAAGGATCTAAGCCGGGAAACTGGAAGAGAGAGTATTTGCTCAGGGGAGGCAGGAAGGTGTCATGGTGAGCTCCGGCAGAGCTGAGTGCTGCGTGCTATCTCAGGAGCTTGTTGTGTTTCACAGAACGGGATGCTCTGGGGCCTTGGTCTCAGCCTGACCAGAGTCCGAGAGGAAGGGAAGGCCAGGGAAGGAGCCTAGAATCTGGGTTCTCAGATTCTGTCGGGGGGAGAGTGGATCCAGGTCACCAGGACTATCAGAACAAGAAAGGGATCAAACAGAGGCAGAAAAACCATTTGGGAATCTGCTAGCCTATGCTTCTGGTCAGCCATCTGCCCCACCCAGCTTAGATCTGGTGCTTTTTCCTCAGCACAGGCCTCCGCCTCATCCAGCTCAAGGGCAAGCATTCCTTGCTGTGCTACGGTAGCGCAGAGGGTCCCTGGCAGTAGCACAGAGTGGGGGTGACACAGAGTATGGTCCCCTCACCTTGATTCTCTGTGTCCTAGCTGGGGAGACTGGGGCCTGGCTACCCTGTCCCACAGGGGCTCCTGTCTGAAAGACTCAGGACCACCTGTCTCCCTCCATCCTGGGAGGAAAATTGGCCCATGTACAGGGAGGGGGAGTCACTGCGAGAAGCCAGATCTCAAGCTCCAAGTCCCCCTCCCCACCAGGCAAAATGAACACACCGAAGGTCATTTGAAGGTCACAGCATGCGGAGATGACCAGTGTAGAAACCCAGATGCTGCCCACCTCCCAAGAAACCCTGGCGTCCCCTCCATGCCACAGTACTGGAGAGACCTTAGCCTTTGGGCATCAAGTTGGCACAGGGCAGATCTGCCCCTGGTTATCTTTGACTTGCACTTACATCCCTTTCTTCCAATTGCTTCCTCGGCCTCCCCAGGGCTGCTGAGCCCGGGAGACCAAGGTACTCACGCCACAACCCCAGTGACCTTCAGGGCCAGAGCTCTACTGCTTGGCCACTAGATCCAGCGCCCCCATTCCCACCCTACTTCCCCTTCCCGGCCCGCTCTTGGAAGGGCCTGTCGCCTTACGTCTTCCTTCGGGCCTCCAGCTTCTCGCTGCGCACTCACTGCGCACTCGCTTCGCGGGTGGGACGACAGCGGGCGGCGGCTGCAGATACTGAGGAGTGCTCAGGAGTTTCCCACAATGCACCACTCTGAGCGCAGGACCCAAGGACCAGTGGCAAGGGGAGGGGCGGATAGCAGTGACAGCGGCTGCGTCAGCGGGGCCACGCCTGCCTGCTCCACCCTGGGAACCCGGGGGCGGGGTGGTAGGGTGTCCCTATGCCTAGCTCCATTTCTCACATCTAAGGAGATTGAACCGGAAGACTGGGCAAGGTTGCCTACCTGCACCCTATCTAGACTGTGCGGTAGGAAGGAGGCGGTTGGAACTGCAAGGGTGGTGGATCTACAAGGGTGAAGGCGTGGGCAATGCGGGTCTGCAGAGGAGAGAGCCCGGCTAACCGGCTAACCACTCATGCACTCACTGTCCCACCCACGCACAGACTCTGAAAGCAAGCATTTATTTAGAATATTTATTTATCTTTTACATGACAAGACACAAAAATTACAACTTCTTAAACTCTTCAAAAGAAAAAAATATAATTCTGTAAGCAGCAGCAGCAGCTTTCAAGGTACAGACATGATAAGGGGGGAGGCTCCCAGGAGCAACCGTGAAGGAGGGATGGCCCGGACTGGGGCCCCTGGTAGTGTCACTGGGAAGGGGCCTCCATGGAGGGGGTTGGGCTTGAGGGACACAGCACCAGCACTTCAGTCAATCACCAAACACAATCACATGGCCAGGGCAGGGGATGAGGACTGCTTTGATTCAGAACAGAGGATCCAGGGCTGGAAGGGTGTGGCTTCTCAAAAATGGACAGAGGCCCAGAGAGCTGCATGGCCCAGGCTTCACACTGGCCTTCGTGCTCCCCTTCCCCCACAAGCAATCTCTGTCCAGGAGTAGGGCTCTCCCAGAAGTTTCCAGGCTGGAGAACTAAACTACTGGACGGGTCAGCAGAAGACCTGAGGCACACACAGCACACAGCACACAGCACGGGGCGCCTGACTCCATCGGGAAAGGCAACTGTGCCCTTGAGGGCACATCCCCGTGCAGCCTGGCCAGCCAACTGCTAGGGGGTGGGGGGCAACCTGCCCCATCACAGGCACACAGAGACCTCAAGCAATCCAGGTCCCACATGGGGTGGGGGCCCAAAGGCTCACCAGGAAGAGTATGTGTGGGGTGCCTGGGATCAGGATTGAATGTGGCAGCACACCCAGCCTAGGAATCCTAGCTTAACACGAGGATAGAACTTACTCCTGTAAGGCTGGCTGGGGAGGCAGAGTGGGGTCCTGGTTGAGGCAGAAAGAGCAGCAGGGCAAACAGACTGATGGACGGAGGACAGGCAGAGCCACGTGGGCACAGCAAATTCAATAAATAACTTTGTGTGTGTGTGGGGGGGTCCCCTTCATAGACCAGGAGAGCCTCGGAGACCGGAGCCAGTGGACTACAGGGTAGGGTCTGCCTGCCCAGACCAGGCCTGGGGGCCCCAGCCCAGAGACCAGCTCTGTCTTAGGGGGTGTTCAGGCCAGGTAAGACTGGGTTAGGGTACAGGGATGGGACAGGACTGGCTCAACGGGACTGGCTTAAGGAATGTACAGATTTCTGCATTTTCTACATAAATAAAACCTTGATCCCAATTTTTTGTCCCTCAGGACCCCATGGGGGCCTATGTGTGCACCACCCATGTGGACCCTGCACCCTCCCCCTGCCTTCTTGTTTGACGGGGAGGACTGGGGAGAGACCAGTCCTCCTCAGGCTTGTGCTGGTCACCCTGTTCTGGCCCCAGCCCATAGGCTAGGGAGATGCAGCCACGGGCTCAGGCCTGGGGTTCTTGCAGCAGCCCCAGCAGGGACTCAGCAATGCCCAGGAAGTAGACCACCTGGGCGATGCCAAACAGCGGGGCGATGACCAGTGCCCGGCAGTAGGCACCTTTCAGGAAGGCTGAGGGGCCCTCATGTCTCCAGATCTTCCTGTAAAGGAGCAGAAGGTCAGAACTGATGCCCAGCCCAGCCCAGCCCAGCCCGGCCCTGCCCCAGCTCACGGGACGTGGCGCACCTGGCACAGTCCAGAAACCCCGAATAAGTGTCCTCATTGACGCCTCTCTCAAGTGACTGAAGTCGAGTCTTCACCACTACAAGGAACATATGAGTCATTAGGGGAACCTAACCTCCCCCCACCAACCCCCCACTGCCCAACTGGGGCCCAGATCCAAGCACTGACCATCACAGGGGTTGACAGCCACGGCAGCTGCGCTCCCAGCCACACAGCCTGCCAGGAAGGACACATAGAAAGGTGACTTCTCCTCAGAAGATGGGCGGCCCAGCTGGTTCAGGTTGGCAAACAGGGGGAAGTAGACAATGGAGAAGGGGACATCCCTGTGGGGAAGGAGGGAGGCGGTGATGCTGGTGCTAGGGACCATCCCGCAGCCCCCTTTCTCCCATATGCCCATCTTTCCACCTGAGCAGTGTGGCCCCCAGTCCCTTGTAGAGGCCAGCGATGCCGTGGTTCCGCAGCAGGTCACGGGTCAGCTGGGTGGCAGTGGGTCGAGGAGCAGCTGGAGCCTCTACAGAGGGCTGGGTACCTCCCTGGGCGGAGAGCTGAGCCTGAGCAGCCAGAATCTTCCTCTGAGCAGCTGGTGAGAAAGGATCTCTGGTCTCTTCCTCCTGGCTTGGGGAAGGGGCAGGGGACAGGGTCTAACTGTTGTCCCCACCCGGGTTCTGTCCCCTCCCTGCACCTTACCAATGCGGCCTGCATCTTGCAACTGGATCTTCAGCATCTCCATGGGGGTGGTCACAATCACCTGGCAGGTGCCAGCTCCGCAGCCTGCTAACATCTCCTTAGGCAGAGTCAGCTTCTGTCTGTAGGGAAGGGGCAGGGCTGTGAGCGAGGTGGTGAGAAACAGCTCCCTACTTGGGGCAGAGGTGTAAAGGGGGATGGGAGCTGTGGAGGTCCCATAGGAGCACAGCCTGGGCTTTAGACCCTTCAGCAATAGGCATCCAGCCCAGAGGACAGATGATCTCATATGCAAGGGCTCATAAAGAGAAATGGGGGGGGGGGGCGGAAGGGGCCAACCTTGTAGCCCCATACCCTAGTGATGGGATGGCTGCTTAGTGCCCCCAAATTCTAGCAGCAGACAGTGGCTGGGGGCCAACAGCCACTGACTCAGCAGCTGCTTTGTACCTCCTCACGTGGGAAGCAGGGAAGTGCCTGCCCTCACAAGGTCAGGGATGTTGAGCAAAGGGACTGAGATGGAAGAGCCTCTGGGGGTCTGATACCAGCTTAGGGGACTGCTGGGGCAGGGGTGGGATGAGCAACACACCCTTCCTTAGGACCTGGGCCCCAGCACCAGGGTGGCCGAGCCTCTCACCCATCCTTAGAGAGCTGATGTCTGAAGAAGTCGTTAGCCGCCAGCTTGATGGCCTTCTCGGGGGTGACCAGGGTCAGGTTCACTGCTGCTCCTGTGGGGGGTGACCAGGGTCAGGTTAACTGCTGCTCCTGTGTGTGTGGGGGGGTGACCAGGGTCAGGTTAACTGCTGCTCCTGTGGGGACACAGGCACGTCAGGTGGGGAGAGACTTGCTGGGTAGCTTGGGTTAGGGAGGCTTTGGGATAACACTTTGCTCCACACTGGCAAAGCCTGCCTGGCACTCCTTGGCTGCAGCCTCCTGCCCTCTCACCCACATATGGGCTTGTTTTGTGCCAGGCAGGCGGGAACCAGGCAGGATGGGGTGGCGCTGTGTCCTCCCTCCCCTCTTTTTGCCCTCCCCAGAATTCCACCTCCATCTGTCTCTGATTTTGGCAGAACAGACCTCTCCTTAAAGGCAGTGAGGAGCAGGCCCCCAGAGACTGCAGTGGGCCTCCTTCCTGGGTACAGGTGTTTCCACTGGTGGGAGCAAAGTGTGGGTTTAGGCTCAGGAAAGGCTGTGAATGGCCCAGAGCCGAGGGCTCAAGCATCTGGGCAAATCCACCCTCAGGGATTGTTTTCTAAGCTGCTTTGCATAAGCCCCCTGCCCTACTCTCTTTGTGGTCCTGCTCATCACATAAAGTAGTGGAGGAGATCTGAGCCACTGAGAGAGAGAAAAAGAAACACACCCTGTCCTGCTCTTAGAGTAGGAGATGGATAGGAGAGTATTCACATGAGGGTGGAGACCCACCACCCTGCAGAAGAAATCCCCTCAGACATCCAATTCCCCCAGCACTAAGGGTTGGCAGTGGTCCCCATCGCACCCAGATGCTACCAGCAACACATAACGTGTGTCCATACTTACAGACCAAGCCCAGGCATGCACCTCTGACCCTCCTCCCAGTTAGACCCGCCTGTCGCCCCTGCCAAGCCTCACCCCTGTACATGCCGAAGTAGCCCTCAGAGCGGATTGTCTTGATGAGGCAGTCAGACCTGTAGCCAAGAGGATGGCAATAAGCTGTGGCCAGCTGGACCCTGGCCCTGAGTCAGGCAAGGGCAGCCAACGCCTTCTCTGCCCAGTATGATCATCCAGGGCCCACAGAGAAGCCAAATACTCTGCCTGCCAGGGCTAGGCTCTCCCTCAGGCGCACCCTACCCTGTTGCCCCTCCATCAAACCCAGGGGTGTGGAAGCAGAGATCAGAGGTGGAAGCTGTGCCCTCGTCCCTCCTACGCTCTTCTCACTCACATGCTGGCATACATGCGTTGGCCATTCTGCTGGTTCTGCAGCCGTGTCTTAGCCAGGTCGATGGGGAACACGCAGGTGACCCCGATCAGCCCAGCGATGCCACCATTGATGAGCTTGGCCGGCAGGCTGTGTATGCAGGGTCAAGTGTCAGGACTACCATACTCAACCACAGGATGGGGGGATGGGGAGGTCATGCTGGGAAGGGGGTGAAAGCCAAGACCAAAGCCCAGGGTTGGGGGGGGGGTCCCTCTGACCTGATCTGCTTATCAGCCATTTACACCAAGTGAAGCAGGAGGCTGACTCAGACCAGACGGTGTGTTAAGTGGAGGCACTGGTGGGGAGGGGCTGCTGAGGACAATGAGGGTGGCTGGCGGTGGTGGCTGATGGTGGGGGAGGGGATGTCCTCACCTTCAGACCAATTTCAAGACTTCTGCCACCTGAAAGAAAGAAGGGACAGAATGAGTGACAGATGGTGGCTGATCAGAGAAAGTCGCCTCCCCACCCACCGACCATCTCACAAGGGCACGAAGCCCCTCACTCCCCAGACCCCGTGCTGCAGGCTGCAGTCATTAAGGCGCCCTGGGGATAAAGGGGGGAGATGCGGGAAGGAAGAAAGGGAGGCCACCCATCCCTGGGGCCACCTGGCTTTCCTTCAATGCCCTCCCCGTGGCGTCCTCCCAGGCAGCCAGGGACTCACGCTCAGGCGCTCACGCTCACGCACAGAAAGCAAGCTCCAGCTTTTAAAGGGCCAGGTGCCTTTTAGTGCAGTGGTACTCGGGACCCTGGACTTGAGCTGCAACAGCCAGCTCCCAACCTTGAGCAGAGGCAGCTAGCATCTGCCACTGTCAGCGGGATAGGGCAGTGGTGGTTCCTCCTTTGTGGAGCTCCTGGGCAGAGCAGACTCAGTTCCATAGCAGCTCACCCTGGGCCACAGAGCCCCTTCCCACAGAAAAGCAAGATTCTCACCCACCCCGAGCTGATTGCCCACCTTCCTGTCCACTTCCCAAGGGAAGTGTTTCACTCCCGACAGACGCAGCAATCTAGGGATAAGGACACGGGGAAGACAGGACAGAAATAAATGGTACGAGGAGGGAAGTAGAGGGATGTCTGTCTCCCAAGGCATCCGTGATTGGTACACCCCATTCCCTTAGGGTGGCAGAAAGGCCTCTCCTATCAGCTGCAAGGATGGGGATCCGGGAGCCAGCCTCTTTATCCCCTGAGGGACACAATCATCAAAGCTGAGCTGGGGTGGGTTCCAGGAGTCCTGAGTCCTGTGTATCTCCCTGAGCCCTCAGAGGTCGCCTGTCACACACAGGCCAGTACCCTCAGTGCTGCCACGAGGGCTTACATAGCTGTCTCACACTAAAGAGCCCCTGGACCCGTTGCCCACCTCTCCCCATACAAGCTGCCGGGTTCTGCTCACCCTGAGCGCACCCCAGAGTGCGCACAACTGCTGCTCCGCGGCTGTAGAGCTAGCGCGCTCGCTGAAGAGATAAAGAGGCCGGCCGGGGAGGGAGGAGTCGAAGGGCTACGGGGATTGGCCGTGGGGCGGGGCGGGGCGGACCTGGGGGGGGACTTTCTCTTTCACTTCGGGCTAGGTGATAATCTCCGCAGCTTTGGGAAAAGACAGGAGTAAGACAACTTCTGGGGGTCTGGGGCTGGGCCTAGCCTAAGAGTTAAGAAGGGACAAACTAATCATAAGAGCCTACCCACAAGGACCCCAGGCCCAGGCCACCACGTTTGCAGGCCACTCGGTAGGTTTCTGTCAGCAGCCTATGGGATGAGCACAGCTGTCTATAGCCCTGGAACCCCAGTGAATGAGACACCCTGTTCGGATCTGTCAACATGTGCCCTTGAGAAGTGGGTCAACACCCACTGTGCTGCGAGACCTGGGTGTACCCATCAGGGAACCTTAGGTTGGGGCACGAGAAGGTATACCTGTTCTCTGGGAAGGTCAAGGAAAGGATGCTTAACTTTCAAAGGCCACTGACAAGCACAGGCCCTGCTCACCTAGCAGGTCCAGAGGACACGGGGGCGGCACTCCAGGCGCCCTCTGCCCTCTGCCCCAGCTCTGCACACCAGGGGCCTCAGTGGAGGAGTACCTGTCCTTCCTAAGCCTGGTATGTGCCGAAGGACTGAACTCTGAACTGCAGTCTGATTACCACAGCAGCTCTCCCTGCTGCCCCTTCTCCAGAGGAAGTCCATCCTTCCCTATGCCTCTGCCCTCGAGAATAGTGAACCTGCTGTCCCTCAGCTGCTATTTCCCCTCACAGCTGGGATCTGGGCACCTGGCTGATGTGTGTGTGTGTCCTGGAAATCAGACTATCTGAAGCCAGTACGGAAGAGCCAGGCAGACACTGAGATCCCATGGACTGAGTCAGCCCTGCACCAGAACCAGAACTAAACAAAACAGGTTAACACCAGGGAGAACAGTTGCTGAGCAGAGAGTGAAGGGTTCCTGAAACAGCAGACAAGGGGAAACCCTCTGGGCTGTTGTCTCTCTCACCCAGCCCCAGGATTTTTGTTTTTTTGAGACAAGATTTTTCTGTGTAGCCCTGGCTGTCCTGAAACTCCCTCGGTAGACCAGGTTGGCCTTGAACTGGGTGCTGCCTCTACCTTGGGTGCTGGGATTAAAGGGCTTTTTATTGTGGACTCTCATTAGTTTGAGACAGCTGTCAGGGCTCCCTCAGCACCCTCTATGTTACCATAGAAACCTGATTGCCCAGTCTAGCCGCTGAGAATCCAGAGCTTTCTGCCTAGCTGTCCCAGCCTTCCCCAGTCAGGCCAACTGAGAAAGATCAGTTCAGCATACAGAGGCTAACAGCTTCTTCTGCATTTCCATGAATGAAGCTACCCATTTCCTGCCTAAAAGAAAAGCAGCCAGGCAGTGGTGGTGCTCACTTTTAAACCAAGCACTCGGGAGGCAGAGGCAGGCGGATCTCTGTGAGTTCAAAGCCAGCCTGGTCTACAGAGTTCCAGGACAGTCAAAGCCACATAGAGATCCCGACTGGGGGCGGGGAGGGGGAATAGAAAGAAAGAAAAGAAAAAGAAAAGTGACTGGGCTGGGGCTGAGCCCCGCCACCAGCGTGCCCCTCCTCCCAATCCAGCCCCCTCAGCCCTTCCTCTTAGGGAGGTTAGCTTCGCCATGCTAGCTAGAAGGGTCATAAAGAGGTCATCTACTGCGAGATACCCCAGCTATCCTACAAAGAAAAACCAAGGATGGGGGTACATCCTCTGCTCCAGGGCAGATCATATCCTTTACCCCACGGTCAGGGCTGAGCTGGCCTCGCTATCTCCATCCGGACGACGCGGATTCTAACTATGTACGTGCCCACGCACATCCCGCGGGTTCCCACGTGTGTGGGGCCCCCAGCCCCAGAGGAAAAAAAAAAGACTAAAAAAAACCAAAAGACAACCCAGGTCCAGCTCTGGGGCTTCCACACTGCTGGGACACGTGTGCGCGGGGAGCGCGCCCGGCAGCGCCGAGACCGAGCACGGCCTTCCACACCCGAGACAGCCGGTCGAGGTTACCGTTGGTCCAGGCTCTGCCGGAGACGCGGTGTCTGAACAGATGCCACCTCTCCCAGCCACCAATGCCACCCTTTTCCTCCCCGCAACCCAGCCAGATCTGGGTGGGCGCCACAGAAACTGGCCGGCTAGCACTCACCACACGGCCACCGCCGGAATCGCCTCCCCGCTGTGCCGCGCGCGGGGCCTGCACCTAAGCTGGGAGGCGCGTCTCTCGGAGGCGCGCCCGCTCCGCCCTAAACTCGCTGCTGTCGGCTCCCCCTCCCGGCCGGCGTGGCCACTGCCACCAGCCACAGCCTCAGGCTACCTTTGAGGGGGCTTTCTGGCGTATCCCGAGGCCCTCTTTGATCTTCCCACCTCAAACCGGGATAGAGACGAAGTACCGGGGGCAGGCAACGTGTGGTTGGGATGGCCCGGGGGAGGTTTGGTCCCAGAGCACCAAGATAGATGCTCCTTAGACACCGCCCACAGATACTGGTGGGCGGGGCTTATGCACCAGTCTGTTACAGATGACTTTGTATCCACACCTGCTGCAGGGTTACTATGTAGAATGGCTCCTCCCCATCCCTGAGGAAGAGACACAGGAGGACCTAGAAATGGCTCACTGGGTAATGGTGTTTGCAACTAAGCCTGGTGATGCCCGAATTCATTCCCAGGGAGCACTTGGAAGGGGAGAAACGGGAGAACAACCTCTGCAAAGCTTTTCTCTGCCACACACAATAAATAGGTTTTATTTTATGTATATGGATGTTTTGTCCGCATGCATGTCTGTACACCACATGCGTGCCTGGTGCTGTGGAGGCCAGAAGCCACCATGTAGGTACAACTTGAGTTACAGACTGTTATGAGCCACCATGTAGGTACTGGGAATTGAAACTGGGTCCCTCAGAAGAGCAGCCAGTGCTGTTAACTGCTGAGTCATCTCTCCAGGCCTTTTCTGCCCTCATCTTAACAGGAGGACTAGGCTTCCGATCACTTAGGCACCCCTCCCTCTATCCTATAAGTAATCAATCTCAGAGGTACACGGGGAGCTGGAGGCTAGCTTGGGCTAGACAGTAAGACCTATCTCAACTTGTAAATATACCAAGCTTTTAAAGCCATGAGGAGTTTCTGTATGCTGGGGCACTGTGCCACACAGGTGAGGTAGAAGGATAGGGGAGGGCTCTGCCCCACTGGTCAAGGAAAGTCAAGGGCCAGCTTAAGTCTGAGCCTAGACCTGGGCAGACTCTGGGATCTGTGAAGCTGAGGTGCCAGGCAGAGGCGAGTCCTCAGGGGCCAGTCCTGTGCGCCTGATGCTGTCCTGATACTTGTGACGGCCGAGCTCCAAGATGGCACGCACCTCTTCAGCCACATCCTGCCGGTCACTCTGCTCCAGGGCCTGCACCAAGTGTCCCACAGCCCCAGGCTGTCCAGCCTGGCGCTCAGCCCAGGAGAAGAGCATGTGGCGGATCTGCCCATCCAGGTCGTCCCTGGGGGGGAAAAGAGCGGTGATGAAGGCATTCTGCCCAGGACCATATACCACATACAAAGGCTCAATGTTTCAAAAAGGAGTTTCTTGCTCCATGGGCTGATGACCAGACCCTCCGTATCCAGGCTGGTGTTTGCTCCGCCTCCATCTTTGAACGCTTTCAGCTACTGTGTGTGTGTGTGTGTGTGTGTGTGTGGGTTGTGAAGTTGATGGGCGTCAGAAGCTCACCTGAACTCATGCCGGATACGCTGTAGCTCACGGTAGGGCATACCTAGGTGCAGGGCCACGGTTGGCCAGTCAGGACCTAGGCGTGAGGCCACACTCAACAAGTTGCTCTGAGTCAGGAAACCAGTTTCTGCATCACCCAGGTTCAGAGGCATCAGGGAGAAGTCTGTCCCCTGCCCACTTCCCTGGGGCCCCCGGAGTCTCTGTCAGGAGGCAAGGATACAGTAAGTTTGAACCCATCCTCTTGTCTTTGCTCACCCAGGGACTCTGTTTCCTCCTGTCAGCTCACGCCTCTCCAGTCTCACCGGCAGCTTGATGGGCAAGGTGGCCATCCACAGTGCATCTGTGCCCTTCCTCTGCCGGGCAGCCTCGGCTTCCTGAGGCACCTCCACGGGAAGTGAACCCCGATAAAAGGACACCTGGGGAAGGATCAGGTGGGTGCTGAGGAATATCCCTTTACGCTGTATGAATATATGTTGCTGTGATTGGTTTAATAAAGAAGCTGACTGGCCAATAGCTGGAAAGAAAGAGACTGGGCAGGGGAACCAGACTGAGAATGCTGGGAAGAAGGGCAGAACCGGGGCTTTGTCAGTCAAATGCAGAGGGAGCAGAAGATGAATGTGCCATGCTAATACAGGTACCACCAAGTGGCAGAGCATAAATAAGGAATATGGGTTAGCTTAAAAAGAGCTAAGCCGGGCGGTGGTGGCACATGCCTTTAATCCCAGCACTTGGGAGGCAGAGGCAGGCGGATCTCTGTGAGTTCGAAACCAGCCTGGTCTACAAGAGCTAGTTCCAGGACAGGCTCCAAAACCACAGAGAAACCCTGTCTCGAAAAACCAAAAAAAAAAAAAATTGTAAGAGCTAGTTAGTAATAAGTCTGAGCTTTGGCCGGGCATTTGTAATTCATACTAAGCCTCTGAGTGATTATTTGGGAGTGGCTGCATGATAGGAAAACTCTGTCTACAGATGGGCTTCAGAACTGTAGCCTTAGTCCAGGTACCTTGGGGGTCCTGACACATCAGCCCACCTGGCCTCGGACAGCCTGAGCTTCCCGGTCCAAGGCTGTGGTGATGTACACCTCCTTTACATTCTTCAGGTGTGAATAGAAAACAAAGCAGATTCTGCCATCCACGCAGTCTGGACGGTCTGTGGAGGGAGGTGGGTGTGAATTCAGTAGGGGGGGGTCAAGGGATCACACCCCAGCGCCCCCTGGAGAAGAGACCTACCAGCATCTACATCAATGCCCCGCT